AATTTTATAAATTATATATCTCGGCGAAATCAAGTCTAAACGACCTTAAAATTCTTTCATAACCCCAGTTTTGATCATAGAATCCAAAAATAGAAAAAATATATAGGTCAAAAAATTTCACTTGATAGCTTTTCTTGTTGGGCTGGTAGAACATCTGCTAATTATGTAGTTGGAATTTTAGACTAGTTTGTAGCTTTACTGCAATAATCTTTTGGAAAAGAGCGAAAAAAGGATATCGTTAGCTGGACAAGCCGTAGACTCCTTTTAAACTTTCATAAGAAACTCTTTCGAGAGCCACCTTGACTTCGAAGGATTTTGCTTTGCCACATGACGTATGGGACTTTGTACAGAATTTGGTGCTGAATTTAATGGTGTAGTATGTTTTGATTAATAAGTCTTTTTTAGTCAGATATGCTAAGAAGACCTTCAATTAGATAGGTGATCAATATTCATATGGTAGCATTTTAGAACTTTTATCTTCGTAGCGATGATTCAAAATTAATTTCAAAGTAAAATTGACAGTTTCCTACAGAATGAAATTCTCTATCTTTTGAGCTAAATATTAAATTTTTCAATACAGGGCAATATAGATAAACAGTTAATAGAAAAGTGGTATCACGACTTCTGGATGATCCTTCAGTAGCGATTTAAAATACATACATCTCACCTGAAGAAAATGAGATGTAGCTAACTGCGAACGAGTTTCGGCAAGTGTATAAAAAGAAAACACTTAAACTAGTCATCATTTTTTTATGAAATGTAAGAGTGGCCTCTTATTTTTTCACATTTTTGCAAACGATGAAAAATGTATAATTGAGTATAGCTATATGAATAAAAGAGCTTCCAAAGTCCATTAAATATGATTCATTTCTAATAAATTAAATAAAAGAAAGATGTTATTCTTCTTTAAGAAGATCTTTGAATGATGAAAATAGTTTGAAGAGCTTTTTTTGTGGCAGTTCTATACTTTCTTTACATATCACTTTTAGTTTTATTTGACGTTAAGAGCTTTTGCTTCCTAGAAGTTTAAGCTTTGTGATCATTACCTTGGTCAGTCTTACAGATAGAGATCTGTTCTTTGTCAGGATCAAGAAGTATCATAGAATGTGTTATACTCAACAAACAAGACTCATTAAACGACATTTTCTTCTTCCGAACTTTCCAAGACGAATTCTTAGATCTGAACCTCGAAACTGATAATAATTAGACTGTACATACGACGCGTTTTATGAGGCGGATATTACGCTATGGATGTTCAAACGAGACATTTTCTTCCTGTGCGGTAGAAAGATAACGAAGGTGAGGGTTTATTCAGCTTCTAATGAATCAGGTTGGTTAATACCCAGACGTTAGCAATATAGTTTGGCTCTTTGGTAAAGACGTTTTTTGTGATTTATATACTCTGACCAGAAATGGGCCGCTCCAACCACTTCTCGCTCCAGGCCCAGCTAATTACGAACCGCTCCACTCCGACTCCGCTCCAAGCGTAAGAATTCCTCTTCGACTCTGCTCCAGGCTCCCGTCTCACTGAAAAATACTCGCTCCGACGATGCTCCAGCTCCACCGACCTTACGAAGCGCTTCGCTCCAACTCTGGACAAGGATTTAAAAGATAACGGTGATTAGCCCGGAAAGATCACGGTTCTTGAATAATTCACTTTTTGGACTGAAAAGTTAACGGAAAATGAATTATTTAGGAAAAGACTGAAAAGATAACGGAAAAAGGGCTTAAAAGATAACGGTTGATATATACAGTGCCTTGACAAAGTTAAACAAGATGACCACGATGTTGAATAAAAGAGTAAACAGTAGAAACAAACTCGCGAGTGTGAAAAATATTTTTTCAGCTGTATATATATATACAGTGATGCGCAACTTTCCAATCTCAACACGAAAATGCGCAGAACTTGGCTGCCAGAACGTGAATCTATAACGCTTGTTGAAGTGAATGCAGTCGTTAAACATTATACACTGGTAAAACTTCGAACGGAATCTACGCCAAACGGTTGTAAGTTGACATTTAAATGTGCATCGTGGCCAAAAAAAAGCAAGTTTGGCAATGTCGTTTTGATGTGTATCAAAACGACAGCTAGCTCTGTGGAGCGGGCGCTACGTAGTCGAAGAGACCCATCTCTGACTCTGACGATCCAGTTTTTTGTCAAAAAAAATTGAGAACCATGTTTTGGCAGCTTGATGTGTATCAAAACGACATTGCCAAACTTGCTTTTTTTTGGCCAACCTTTTTGTTTCTTTCCCATTGGCAAACGATCTTGTGTTAAACAACATAGACCGAAAATCATCTTGAGACCTATCAAATGTTTGCAGATGTATTGCTTGCAAAAAGTTCTGCATGAACAACGTTGATATTGAATTGAAACTACATGTGCCGATTCGTACCACATTTTAAAATTTTCAAATGTTTGGTGATCATTATTTGATAAACGTTGTATCCATTGAAATGGAGACATTTTTGGATACGTTGCTGGTACAACAAATTGATAAAAAGCATGGTTTGAACCACCGTTAAAAATCCACTTAGTGGCAATTTTTTTCTCAATGTGTAATGTTGTTTAGTTTTGTTTGAAACGTAAACTTTAAAAGTTTATTTTAAAAGAAAGTAACACAATTCACCATTCAACGACTCCAAACCGTTGTTCATTGAAGGATTATTGAAAACAGCATCCTCGTACCAAAAACAAAGTGAATCAATCCATTCGGTTTTGAAACAGGCAGCAAATCGATGAAAATCAGTATTGTTATTCCATTTTTGTAATAATAATGTTGCTGCTACATTGAATACATAATCGTCAGAACATAGCTGAAGGTCCCAAATGTTCTGTTCAACATCATTCCATTTGTCTGGTGGAACAACTTTACGATGGGCACGACAACGTCCGATTACGTGAGCATAACACATGAGTCGACGAGCATTGGGAAATTCTTGTTGATGTGCAGCTGTGACGCCTTTCGACCCGTCATTCATCAAATTTTTTATAACACAACCATTAATGTATCTCATCTAGAGGCAAGGGGGGAAAAGCGACCTCTGGGAGTCCAAGAGTCGAAAGAAGTCCAAGTTCTTGGGAGACTGTTGTTTAATATTCAAGTAGGAACAAGCGGTTTTTAACTA